ATCTAGTAACGTCTGGAGATCCTTACTAGATCCACTGTACTACCCACTATACACCTTTCCCCTCTATCTGTTTCACCTAGCCATGCCGTCCACCTGTCCTTCCCACCTAACCGTCCCGCCCACCTATCCACCACATCCATCCGTTCCGCGGTCCCTGAGCGGTCGTTTGGACCACTCTCCGTACGCCGCCGCAATCGGTCCGACCACCGTCCGGTCCCTCCGGAGGTCGGCGTGGAGCGCAGCGAATAAATCCCACAGGGACGACCCGGTCGCCCAGGCGAGGGAGTGAGAGTGAGTGAGTGGTATCAGGGTCTACCTGTGATACGGACTTGCAGGAAGGCAAAGTGACGGATTGATCGCGGACCGGACTATTTCAATCAGTGGCGAATCGTGTGCTAAAATGGTGTTGGTTTCAGTGCTACATCAGCGGGATTTACGCGTCAGCGGAGGATCATTGGGCGACTCTGATCGCCTGACCGTGTGTAATGGGCCGGCTGCGGACATTGTTTCGGCCGATTTAGTCCCGTAATGGACGATTCGATGTGACGGCGCAGCTGGTCTGCGAGCACTCACTCAAATAACCCTCGGTCGGGCGGTATAAATTTCAGACAACCGCCGCCGCCGCCCGGATAGGTATGGGGGTGGCGGGCGGCCTCGGGTAGACTGCTGACCCTGTGAACTACGGTTAGACGAGTCAGCGGCTTGGCTGAAAAACAATAAGGCGCTTTGCTGGAGCTGAGCCAGGAGCAACAGAGTTAGATAGACCCACGATCAAGTGCCGGATATTTCCACCCTAGGGTGCCTTTCGCGCTTTGTGTCGAAACACCCTAAAACACAGACATTTCCTTCACGGACGTTGCTGGCACATAATCATGACTGCATCATGTATGAATGGAGGGAACGGTGCCTGTCGGTACCCTCACCACTACGACAAGCCTCCGCTGTCTAAGGGGTATGTGACTGTGTGCATCGCGGGTTACCAGGGCCGGTCCGGGGTGGGGGGGGGGGGGGCTAAATCACCGGGCTCCCTGCGCAGGGCGGGAGGGGACGGGGAGTCGGCTGGCAGCTTGTTGATTGCCGACGGCGTGGCACGCGGTACCGGCCGCCTAATGTCATGTGTCATGCATCGACGGCGACGGGCCGGGGCGGGAAGGACGAGCGGCACGGGCGCACGACGCACTGGCGTTAGGACAGACGTCGCGGGCGCCGGGGTGCGGTTGGACACAGGCGCCAGATAGGGCTAGTAGACGCTCTTGTCAGACAGAACTGGCGGATGGATATGCACGCCTACCGAGACTGGCGGGTGGACTCAGGCGTCAGCACTGGATGGATATGGGCGCCAGGGGGTCCCAAGCAAAACTGGCGGATGCATTCGTGCACCAGACAGGACTGCTCACTAGCGCCAAACAGGAGTGATCACTGGCGTCAGGCAGGGTTGTAGACGGACCCGGACGCGCCTCAATGGTCTCAGACTGAATGCGTAGCGGTCGTGTTTGTCAGGCTGTCACAGCGATCGTGCATAACAATCGGCTCTGATGAAATCGAAACACATTAATCGTTTTGGTTTCCAACTCTGCATTGATTCAAGCACCAGTTGTAATTAGGTAATCAACGGCTGAAATGTTTACGTCGAAATTCCTTGTCGAAATTCCTCGTATCGATTACCATATATTGATCGATTCCTGCTGCATTAACGACCTCAATAGTTTTCCAATTTTGGAAGTATCCAAGTGCATTATTGCATTTGGTGCTTGGAAGTCGACTCAATGCTGCATTCCTTGGTGAACCCGCCATTGACAATTTTACGTATGAATGAACGTGTGAACATCCAAAGATGACTGCAGATCGATGAAAGCCGTCAAATGGACGTTTCTGAATCGCGTCCTTGCAGCCGCTGCCATGAATTCAATTCATTTCCATTTCCACTATTCTGAAGCCGATTTTCAATGGTGATGACGTTCGATGCATGACTGAACTGAGCGAATCGAAACCCATTTAGTTTTGCTACGGAGCGAAATGATTAGAATTAGAAGGCTGGCTAATTTAGCATTAATTAGAAGTTTCGAAATGCTGTTTTGCAGACTGGTTTGCTACTCAATGAATGGGCGTCTGTGTGCCTTTGATCTACCAACTCTCAGTGAGTTGCAGGCGGCGGGGCCGCTCGGCTCTGGCCCTCCTCGCCCACCCATATCGCCATAGGCGTAGGAACGTTTTCGAAAGTGGGGGGGCCAGGGTCCCAGAGGTCCAAAACCTAACCTACCCCCAAAATCCGATTTCTCCTCGGATTTCGGCCACTTTGTTTTCGCAAACATGCTCAGAGGTAAAAAAAAAATCGAAAAAGAAAAAGAAAAAAAAATGGTTGAAATTTCAGGGAGTCTCCCGTCCATAAACTCAAACTGATGGACGCGTTCCCCTGTCCTCCGCAGCCGTTGGCACCCATGCAAATTCCAGAGGCATCCAGCAACTTTTTCATTACGAGCAAGCGTGAAACGTGCAAAGCGAGTCTTTTCAATATACCTATAAAAATCAGCATGAACGGCCCAGCTAGGCTCAGCCAGGCCTATAACGTTTTTAAGAGGTATTATATCAGCGACCACTGCAACTGGGCTGATTGACTATCACTTATCAGAGGCCGGTGTGGGACTTTTAGACGGTCTGGGCCTTCAGAGGCCAGTTTAACCCTCCACGGCCCGGTCCTATAGGTTTTCTACATACGACGCGCTGGCCGAGGGGGCGGGGGTCGGGTACGACCCCCCTCGCCGTTTCGCCCCAGGTGGAGCTAGCGCGTCGCGGTAAAACGAGCGTGTGCGCCGTTACGAGACGCAGAGATCGATACCCGATTTTATGGTCCTAGGCCAACCGGTGACCTCTGACACCGTTCCGTGCTTCTATCCTCAGGATACTGAAATCCTTCTCCTCCACACCGCAACCCCCTCCGGGCTGGACAGGCAACTTTATCTCATGCGGGCTGCTCCCTTGGAGCGGCACCGCTGCTCCCGAGGGAGCGCACCCCGTAGCCGGGTGCAGTGAGTGCCTTGGGGCTGGGTGGCCTGTCCTCTGAACGGGCTCAGCCCCGGCGACTCACTAGGGTGCCTGCCCAGACCAATGTCTCCCCCTATATCCTATCATCCTTCCGGCTCTGAAATGGTCTCATTGGACCGAAAGGGCCTAACCCAACAAAACAAACAAAAACCGGTGACCTCTGAGGTCAGGTCAAGTGCCTCAAGGCACGGTTCCGTTTTTGGTGAATAACTTCGCAAAAAAATGGCCGCAGAGCCGCGATTTTGCCAGCATCGTGTTCACCTCTCTCAGGCGCGTCGAATGATATACTTTTTGTTTGGGTGAGGTAAACTTAGGGTGTTGACCTCGGGTCACGGTCAGGTCCGCGTCCCCAGGTCACGAAATTGGTCGAAGGAGGTCATGTCGCATATCATTCGATTCGGCAGGTCTTCTTGAGTCCATAGGTGGCTTTCCCGACTCGCTAGCTCAATTTGATCGGTACCTAGTTATTGACGAAAAACTAATAAGACCCTTATAACTTCATAAATGACGTCGCGCAAGGTCAACATTGCAAAAGTGACGTATCGAACCTTGCAAGGGGTGCATGAAATCACGATTCGGTGTCCTTGAGATAGTTGGAGATCGATCGTTCCCGGCGCCAGAAAAAGTTTTCAGTTTATCCCCATTGACTTATACCTAATGGTGAGGTCACGAAAATGACCTGACCTCATATGAACTTTAGGAAAAATCCGAGATATACATTATACAAGTTGAGAGACTCCTATTGGATACTAGGTCCTCCAAGGTTCATTTCCCTGTGAAATCTCCTCTGGCAGTGAGGGCGTTGCGAAGTTGCGACATCTGAAGACCGTGCAGAGGTTCACTTATGATCACATGGGTCAGTGACCTGATCTGACCCGAAAATGCGGTTGGTGTCAAAAGATCCCGTTTGATTCAAAGGTTAGGTATGCCAAGCTTCAGCTCTCTATCGCCGGCGTGTTCGGAGCTATCGCGAAAAAAAAACTTATGGAGGGGCGGCACCCGCCCCCCCCCCCCCGGCCGGCGAGGGTTAAGGCCCTCAGAGACCAGTACAGGGCCTGCAAAGGGCAGGATGAGACCTTAAGATGCCGACTTGGGCCATCAGAGGCTAATGTGGGTCCTTACAGGCCAGTATGGGCCCTCAGAGGTCAGTGTGGGACCCTAAAATGCCGGCATGGGCCGGTGTTGGAACCCAGAGACCAGCAGAAGGCCCTCAAAAACCAAGATGGGCCTTAGAGGCCGGCATCGGGTCTTCAGAATTCAGTGCGGGGCCCTCAAAGGCACCTAAAGGCTAGTCTTGGGACCCCAGAGACAGAATTGAGGCCACCAGAGGCCGGTGTGAGGCCCTCAGACGCCGGCTGGGCCCTTGAGGCCGGTTTAGGGGCCCTCAAATGAGGTCAATGTGGGTTCTCAGCGGTCAATGTGGGCGCTTGACCGCCACTGAAGGGCCCTCCGAGATCAGTGTAGGACCCTCAAAGACTGGTTTGGGAGCTGTTAAAGGTAGACTGTCACCTTTTTTTCACTTACCGGTTTTCGTAAGAGGTGCCCGCCCTCACCACAGATGTCCAGTCCATTTTCCGTTATCCTCACCCTGTAACGCGCAATCGCCTCCCAAAGTTCCATTTGATGCCATCTTTTTCGCCGGTGAAAATGCTCATCACTACGATAGCATGTATGTCACTTTTCATTACATTTTGGCATCATAGAGATTCATTGTTATTTTTCTTGAATGTTGTGACAAATTTCGTAATACCAATATTAATTTCAACAGCAAAGACGTACATTTAGCAAATTAATGTTGAAGGTTTCCTAGTATACTAGCATGAAGAAAGGCCGATCTCTTAGCATTGTGAAGGATTTCAGGGAAAGGAAAAACTTTGTCGATTTTAATTAAGAGCATTTTATACAAATTTTAAGGAAAAACTCGTCTAAAGGGTTTTATTTATCTTTTCTTATTCACACATATTCAATTCAAAGGCGATAAATTGTTAATTAGCAAATTTGTGGTAGAAGACAATGCTTTTTTTTACTTGAAGGGAAGTGGTAAAGGGAAGACCTGAGGTCCGATCTCTTCAACACTAGTGAAGGGAGCAGACCCTATGACAAAGGTAAGTGGTAAAGGATTTTTGGTTTGCTACCATGTTCTGCATGTTTCCACCTCTGTTTCAAACACGACGCGATAAAATTGAAGACTTTTTCGGGGCACGTGTCAAATGTATTGCTAATTCATAGGCGATGCTGAAAGTGGTTTCATCCTCATTTCTACGGTCTCTGTGCGCTAATATTTAATGGTTTTCATCGTGGTAAGTTGATATACAACGGTGCCGGAATCTCTCAAGTAACAAGTAACGGGTGTGCACTCAGTTTTGGAAAAAGATCGATTATCTCTTTTTTGAACTTGAAGTTATAAATACAAATGCTGGCATAGTGAATACCTAATCATGCAATTGAGGATGAGCATGCCAAAATTCAAATTTATACAACTGACTTGGGGAAACTACCCATGCTGGAAACTGCCAGTCTGCAAGGTATGGCAATTTCGACAAGATCTGGTCGGTGCGGGCTTGTTCAGCTGTTGCGGCGTGGTGCGGATTTCGCTTGGTGTGCGGATTTAGTGGATCACAGTGCAGATTTGGCTTGGCGATGGACTTGACGGACAAGACGATATTGATGAGGCAAATCGAAAAACATTGCTGGAGCTTTTATGTGTAATTCAGTGTCCCCTGGGTTTAAATGAGTGTGCAACTGCTGGTCATTTTTGGGTTCTGTGCGGATCTTTTACCCTCAGCCCACATTGGGGTGGATTTTCCGGTTTTGAAGGGTTGGTGCGGATTGTGAACTTGGGCTAGTGCCCTTCGTCGACATGCGAGCGATACTTTGCAGCATGGCTGCGCACGGCTGCAAAGTATGGCTTCAGCTTCAGCAATGTTTTTCAATTTTCCTCATATATCTTGTCTGGTCTGTCATGTCCATCAACAAGCAAATCTGCAATGTGCTACACCAGTGTCCCAAAATTAGGGATATTTTGGCTTGGGTGTTCGAGGGTAAAATTCCTCACTACAAAGAGGACTGAAAGTGGAAAATTGCTAGTCAGAAAGATACAAAGAAGAATGAAAACATGATCACCATTTTCTATGTGAATGTTACAGGATGTGGGAGCTGCGATGATTTAATGGAATTTGAATGTAGGTACAAGCCAGCCAGCAAATGTACATGCGGATGATCTTAGTTGTTAAAGTTGGGAGGGCAACTTGTCCTGGAAAATTAAAGGTGAGAGTGGACCAAGTGGACTATTCAATTTCACAAGGATTTCACTTTCCACCCAAATCTTGGGACACTGGGCTACACTAGATCTGCACCCTACCAGCCAAATCCGCACCACGCCGCATCAGATCAGCACCAGCTGAACAAGCCTGCACCGACAAGCTTTTGTCAAAATTGCAATGCTTTGCAGACTGGGAAACTACTAGGCGCAAATCCAAATATTGATCGACCAATAAACAGTTGAAGTGAGCAGGGCTATGACCAAACTAGGAATAAATAATTTAAATATGAATGCTTATAATTATAAATAGTTATAAAGAAATTAGTATTTGTCAATCACCATTCAGCGACCGTTGACCTGACTCAGTCTGAAAACGTGGCAGCCACGTTTTTCAGACATGCTGAAAGCTGTCATGCTGCACCTCTTAATATTAATTGTATAACAACTTTAAATGACAAATACAGCTTTTCTTTTACAGCAGCAACATGGTAAACCGTTGTTGTGTCAAGACATGCAAGCAACACTTTGATTACAAGCCCCAACATAAGCAGGGTGCAAAATGGAAACTACACAGGTATGTGATCTCGCCACCGTCATTGCAGTATTTGAAATGCAGTATCATGAGGGTTATATTTTACCAGATAAACGCCTTTTGGGCGAAGACCGAACGAGCGAGAGAACTGTAGCTTTTCTTGACAAGGGGTCCTCTGACTTCGGGAATTTTTCAGCTATCGACACAAAATTGGCACACTGCTAGAACTAGACACACTCTACAGTATGTTATGAAAATGAATGAACCGGGGTGCTTGGGACATTCACTTTGCACGTGCAATGAATTCATATCCTATACTGTAGGTAGATTTCCATATCAATTTCACGTGCTTTCAATAATTCTTTAGACGTTTCAGTTCGTTACAGTCTCAAAAGGTCTCGGTTATCTTTCAGTCTACCCCCAAGACCTAACTTATTGTTTTTTCCCTGGCCCGGCATGCTCTCGGCACCATCCCTCCAATTCTGGCCCAAGGCAACGCACGAGCGCTGCCTGCATCTAGTATTGAAAAGACTTCGCTTCGCTTGCTTGCTCGTAACAACCTATGTAGGCTGTTGCCATTTATTGTGGCACAAATGTAAATGCACAGAGAAACCACCTGCTTTATTACCAAGAATTTGAGAAATCAAGCGATTACACCCCAAATCGCTTCCTCCAGCCGGAGGCTGTACCCTCGAAGGTAAGCGCGCTCCGTGGCCGAGAGAATTCCAGCGGTAGTGTTAGACGCGAAAGCAGCTGGTGCGGACGGCCATATTTTGCTCGAACGCGTAATCGCGTGCCGGTGGGGTGGTTCTATTATTTGTCTGAGTGAGAGGCGGCTTACCCATGGGGCGGTATATGGTGCAGAGCTGGGCGCCACTGACAAAGAGAAGGACGCTTATAATGTGACACAATGTGTTCTAATGTTATAATATCTTTTTTCGGCATGGGCCAAGTGCATGTGACCTTGGGGTGGTGCGTCAGTCAATAGTATGGAGATGAGTGCCTGTGGGCTGTGACGTTATGACGTTGTGCGTTGTTTTGTAATTGTGCCGTCTTTTGATGGGGCGAAGGCTTGCAAATCCGCCCCATTGGAACAAAAAGACATTATTGGCACGCCCCCCCCCCCCCCCCAGCAGGGCACGGGTAAACACTCTGGTAGTTCACCAACCTCTCTCTGCACTGTGATTTCAGAACCTTGGTACGTCACCTGCGACGGCGACGTCACCTGCGAGTTCCGCGGAACCCCTGACGCCGTCACCAGCTGGACCATCCGCGGCACTGGACCATCCAGCGACGGCCGTGACGCCGTCACCAGCTGGACCATCCGTGGCACTGGACCATCCAGCGAAGGCCGTGACGCCGTCACCAGCTGGACCATCCGCGGCACTGGACCATCCAGCGACGGCCGTGACGCTGTCACCAGCTGGACCATCCGCGGCCCTGGACCATCCAGCGACGGCCGTGACGCCGTCACCAGCTGGACCATCCGCGGCCCTGGACCATCCAGCGACGGCCGTGACGCCGTCACCAGCTGGACCATCCGCGGCACTGGACCATCCAGCGACGGCCGTGACGCCGTCACCAGCTGGACCATCCGCGGCACTGGACCATCCAGCGACGGCCGTGACGCCGTCACCAGCTGGACCATCCGCGGCCCTGGACCATCCAGCGACGGCCGTGACGCCGTCACCAGCTGGACCATTCGCGGCACTGGACCATCCAGCGACGGCCGTGGCGTCGACTCTGCCAGTGCCGGAGACGACGGCGACGTCACCTGCGAGTTCCGCGGAACCCCTGACGCCGTCACCAGCTGGACCATCCGCGGCCCTGGACCATCCAGCGACGGCCGTGACGCCGTCACCAGCTGGACCATTCGCGGCACTGGACCATCCAGCGACGGCCGTGGCGTCGACTCTGCCAGTGCCGGAGAGGTCGGCGACGTCACCTGCGCCGCTGGTGTCAACACCGCATGGACATCAGCTGCGAGCTGGTAAACGGCGGTGGAGTGGAAGCAGGTGAGAACTGGCAACCTGTTTATGACAAACTTTTCTTTTTTGCTTGAGGGGTGATTCTGGTGTCTTTCTGCTAGAATTATTCAAATTGGGCTTTATCTATTATTTTGACCATGGACGTGCCTCAAGCATACTGCAGCAAAATTTTTACATTTATTCCCCCCAAAACCCCCCTAAATATTGACCTAGAGCAACCAAATTTGCGCAGGGGCGAGAACTCCAGGGGGCCCACCTACCTACCAAATTTGGTGTTTCTAGGTGCCATAGGAGCCAATCGCGAGGGGGGTCGCATCACCCCCCCCCCCCTGCCAGGCCGTGTTATGAAAAATGTCCTGCCAGGGCGAGGGTTAATGTAGGAGCTATGCACACATAAAGCATGTGTTGTTTACAGCATGGTACTTCGGCTGCAGGCTTGAAATGGAACAGACTTTAGTCTTATCTGCATGTGGTAGCTCGAGCAGAGGTATTACATCTGCTTACGTGTCCCGTAGCAGCATTTTACACCTTGTCCTGCTCTCCCACAGAGCGCGCAAGCCACCAGCCAGCTGACTCAGAGCCCAGGGGGCGTTCGCCACCAACATCCGCACGGCGCAGCTGCAGAGGTGATTTCTGCCATGGAGCAGCATCCGCGGCTCCATGACATCATCCTTCCATCATTCTCCATCATCATTTCCGGAGCTCACCCGACGGCGGAGCTGGCGACGCCCGCGCCCCGCCTGGCCGTCCAGCCTGCGCGCTCCGCCGCGCGCCGCGGGCCCGGCTCGCCGAGACGTCCGGCTTAGGTCGGCGTTTGAGGCGCGGCGGGGGGCAACGTCTCTGTGCCCTGCTCCGGGTCCCCGCCGCCTGCGGTCTCTTCTGCTGCCGCCACTGAGGGGAACGGCTCTTCTTTGAAGACATCATCGGTCGACGGTGATGCTGGCGGGCCGGTGGCGGCGTGCCCCGTCGGCAGCGCGCCTGGGGAGGACGCTGGTGACGACGAATCTTCATCGCCGTCGGCACCGGTCGCGAGCGAGTCGCTGTTTAGTTGGCCTGCTACTGTGCCAAAAAGTGCGACTGTGGCCAGACTGGTATACGATTTGTCAGTGCTTACGCCCCTCTTGCCGTGCCGGCCGTGCTCTTTGCCGTCTATTGGGGATGCGTTAGAGTTATCGTTTTGGGGTTTATACCGGTATCAAGATTGATTTAAAAGATGGATTTCATCACATTTCTCGCGCACGTTCCACACGTCCTTTTGGTGTTTTGTATGATGGTAAAACGTGCTTATACCTTTTCTCTGTTACCAATGGGCCCTATTAGGTACTGCATCTCCTGCATTATTAGGTAGAGATGCAGTACCATTATTAGGTACTGCATTATTAGGTACTGAAGGAGATGCAGTTAGGTACTGCAGATGCAGTACCTAACAGATGCTTTCAGTGAACTTGTAGAGTCGAGATTTAACGTCAGGTGTTTGGCGTATTTAGATGATTTTCTTTTCATGTCCAAGGACGCTGAATGGTATCGCTGCGTTTCTGACTAGTGTTGGGTTGTGTATTAATTTCAATAAATGAGTTCTCGTTCCGTTGCATGTTTTTACGTTTCTTGGTGTGTCGATTGACTTTGGGCGTGATTCTGCGCGTGTTCAGGATAATGCCTTGTCTTGTCACTATTGCGGGCTGGCCGTGGTCCAAGCACAGTCGCTGTGACAGACGGTTCGATTTGTCGACCAATCATGTTGCTTCGTTTTGGCGCCTTGTGTGTTGTCCGGTCTGTCAAGACTCAGCTGGCTCAGTCTCGACTCTGGCTCTGGCTGGCTCAGTCTCAGTCTCATCAGAGAGCGAAAGGAGCTGCGCGCGCGGCTGCAGCAATTCATCGGCGGCGGCGCTGTGAACGCTGTGTCGGCGGCGCGCGAACAGGAGCTGATCGCGCTAAACGAGGACCGCCAGCAGCTTGTCCATCTGCAGCAGCTGGTGTTGCAGCTGATGGGCGGCCAGCAGCTGGCGGCGGTCGCTACCCCCCCCCCCCCGCCGGTCCTGTGTGCGGGGACCGCCGCGCCCGGCAGTGATGGAGGGTACTATGGCGGTGTTACATTCCTAACTGTTGTCACATATCAACTGAGAACCGTCCGGCCGGAGGCAGTTAACGCCGGCCGGCACCTACTCACCGTGGCCGTATTTTTTATATGGAGAGAGGAGAGAGGAGAGAGAGGACATCAGGTTGTCAGAGAAATAAAGTGTATATTTATTATTTGAATCGAGCGAGTCGCGTGTTCCACGAGCGGGACTTGGAGCAAAAAGCTGGCATTGAGATACAACGAACAGAACGTGGCGTCGAGCAGGAACGCCCCCGGCTATGTACACGGTGCTGCTGGGCGCGCGACCAACAAAACACGAGAATGCATCAACATCAAAGACACACGGTACATCAAAGCCCTCCGCGCCATCGCTGGGTCCGTCGGCACCGCTAGCGCTTCTACAAAACAAGCACGCACATAGAGACGCCATTTCCAAACGCACGCATACACAGAACAAAAACGCACATGCACGTCCATTCGTTTCACTCAGTCACCCATGAACGGCTTGGGTTTCCGGACGGTCACCAGCCGGCGGGGCCGCGCCGCGGCAATAGGCGTGAGTCTCCTCGTTGAGCTTGCTGAGCGCGCTGCCACCGGAGGCGGACGGGGCGCCGCCGGCCGCGCCGTCCTTCGCGTCGCTCACCTCCACCTCGACCCCACTGTCGGAGTCCTCGGCGGCGGCGCGCCGGCGCAGCTGCTCGCAGATCTCCTCTGTGACGAAGGTGGCGCACTTGGGGTCGCGCATCAGCGGCGTGAACTCGAGCTCTGGCCGGCCCTGGTGCAGGCTCCGTCAGCGGCCGCGGCTGCACCACGGCAGCGCGCGATGCTCGCACAGCTCGCACTCACGCTCCACGGGAGCCGGCGCCGACTCCGGTCGCCGCCGCTTCACCGGCGTCGAGCTGGCCTGAGACGAGCCCTTTGCCGCACCGCCCGAGCCCGTGTGAGGGATGATTGTGAATTGTGATCTCGTTGTTGATTTTGATGGGCTGTCCGGTGGCGGCCGCCGCCGCAGCTGCCTTCCTACGGCCAAACGACTCCATAATCTTCTTGGCGACGACAGAGTGAGGGCTGTAGACGTCATTCTCGAACTGTTTGTATACATATGCGAATGTGGCCGTACAGACGGTGCACTTGTAGGGAAAGGTGCACCGGGTTCAGCATCACAAGGTGGTCCTTAAAGACGTGGTGCAGGAGCTTCCACTGGTACACCTGGCGCACACAGAGAAAACACGTCACCGGTAAATCCCAGTTTGAAGTGAAGGAAGATGTGCATGAAATCCTAGGACCAGACAACTCGCAGGGGGGAAGTCCACAAATGACGCAACATCACTAGGTACAACCTCGTATCGCACAGCAATGTAAAATCATTAATGGTACCTAATGGTCTCCCTAATAACCAGTGTACGTGTATCTCCAACCCGAGCCGCCTCCCACGATAAGATCAAGACTTGTGTCAAGACATGTGTCCTAAGTATTAAGTAATAAGTTCACCTGTATCAAGTTCACCTAGCACCACTTTTCTGAAAGAAAAGTGGTTCATGTTTTAGTGCCATCTTTCATTATAGAAAGACAATGATGTTGAATGTGTTTTCTGATGAACCACAAAGTGAAAATCAGTGATTTATGGGTGCATTGTATTTAAGAATTCCTTTTGAATTATCATGAGCAGAGTTGAATACCTCCTTTTGCACTCTTTAGAAAATGAAGAGACTCACAAAATTAAAACATGATTAGAAAGAACACATCCTTAGAAATGTTTTGTGTACTAACCATATTTTTTTCACAAAACATTTATAACTTCCACCAAACCACACAATGAGTCAGGTGAGATTATCTTACATTAGGTAAGGTTAGGTAAGGTTAGATTAGGTTGTATTATTTCTGCTTGTAGTGTACCTGACTTTTCAAGGTAGGTACATGATAATTTTAATTGCAATAATCACCTTAAAATATATATTGGCTAGCAACCTAGATAAAGGCTAGGCCACACATGGCAATTAAATAAATATTAACAATTGTTTCATACTTTCACATCGCATCGTAAGAAACATTCAGTTATTTACCTTTGGGGCTCGGGCTGGGCGGTGGGTGAAAAGTTGAGAATTCTTCTTGCCCCTCGACCACCTCCTCTCCTCACCCGTCCTCGTCCTCTCCCTCGCTCACCAGGCATCTTCACCTGGAAGGTAGGCATACAGAAATGGGCCAGTCTGCAAAACGTGGCAGGTCTTGACAATATGTTGTCAGGGCACACACCACAGGTTGTGGCAGGTTTGAGGAATTTTGGGGCAGAAGCAAGGAAATCTGGGGCAGAAGTTGAAAGCTTGTCACAGCATTGATTCATTTCGCTTCTCATACTTATTAAATGATGCACTTCATCATTATATCATTTTCATCATATTCATGAGGGGCCCTCATGAAAGGAATTGGGTTGCCCAGGTCTCGGCATTCCGCTTGGGGCAATGTTTTGACTGTCCCAAACATCTTGTCACGGATTGAGCTCCCTGCCACACTTTGAAGACTGGGAAATTGGTGCTGGAATGGAAACACTATCAGATTCATGACAATTTTTCCAATACCATAGGTATTTGTTATTCAAATAGCACTTGTCTCAACTTAGTCTATCACTATTCATATAAACCTGGAAATAGTCTAGCTTTTAATATCACATGCCAAAATACATGTATATATATACCTATCAGATGAATCAGAATTGGAATATTTTAAGATATAGATAACATAACTCATTAAAACAGGCAATTCCAAAAGCGTAAACACGACATACATAACCAAAGCAAGGATCATTGTATATTTCAATTGTAACATGCGCGCCGTTTATGGCGACAAAACCCGCTTCCATATCTTATGACCTTGAAGTCTAGTGATGTGTCAACATTGTCGCTAGACATTATCCGATTGATAATTTATGATAATCGATAATTTTTTTACGCGATTCACGTGATGATAGCTTGCCAGGTGAATTCTAAAATTTCGTTTTATCCAGGGAAAAAATCATGGGCCGATCTGAGAAAACTTTTTGAAGGTGGCAGTCTTCCTTTAATAGCTAGCGTGGGATTCTTGAGTCTCGTGACAATCGAATAAGGGCCAGAGCCCCATACGCCCATGGGGGCCCATTGGTTGTTTCGGGGGGGGGCCAAATGATATGATGGCCCCCTGATTAGCCTTTGGAGGGGGGAAGGGCATGGCCCTGATCCCCCTCTGCGACCGCCACTGCACTGAAAGTGGAAGGGGGAGGGGCAGAAACAGACATTGCTGGCCCCCAGCCTGTTTGAACCGAGGCTGAGGCACGGTCACCCTGGCCCCCAGCTAGTACGCCTTTGACGAACTATGCCGACCCCAAGCAGATAAGGTCAAGCGTTGGTCGTTTGTATACGCATTCTCCTGCACCGTGCTAGTATTGTCTTAGTATTGCCTATACCTTTTTAGTGCTCGCTGTCCCGCGCCTCGTATTCAACAAAATGCTGTCACCAGGACTCACAGTCTTGCATCTGATATGGTTTCCTTCATTGAGTGAAGGAAATTGCGGTCAATAACGCTGTAGAAACAAAAAGGAATCCTCATTAAAGAGCAAGCTGAATAGTTGTCAAGTTACCGGGTGGTAGGTTAGGTACAGACAGACACTTAAGTCAGCAAAAAGTGGGGGGGGCCAGTTAACATTGCTGGCCCCCCCACCTCCGAAAGTGGGGGGCCATGGCCCCCCCGGCCCCCCCTGTTCCTACGCCTATGCATATCGCTCGCGACAGTCGACGGGCGTCGACTCCCCTGACGCGCCGGCGGAGGAGCGCTCTAAAGGCGCCGCGTCGCACCTGTCTGGTGCCCGCGCGTCTGTCGACGGATTGCATTAGCTGTGTTTGTCTACACCTCAGTCCATCTGTCCAACCGCATCTCTGCCGCGCCGTTGTGACGGCTATTCTCACCCCAGATGAGCTGAACACGGCGGTTTTCTGTTTTTCTTTATGGGATATTCGTGACGACAATGTGCCAGCTCGTGTCTGAGATGTGACTGTGCTGTCTCTGGCGCAGGCAACAATGCCGCTGAGACAGCCTCTCTGGGGGTGGGAGGGGGGTGGGGACGGACGCCGCGCGCCGGATGGGGTTCTGGTAATCGGGTGATCTCTCACTCTCGTCTCTCTCTCTCTCTCTCTCTCTCTCTCTCTCTCTCTCTCTCTCTCTCTCTCTCTCTCTCTCTCTCTCTCTCTCTCTCTCTCTCTCTCTCCCTCTCTCTCTCGTCTCTCTCTCTCTCCGACGGCGCCTCTGCCGGCGTGGCGGTGCGTCGGGGAGGCGGCCGAGGCGCCAGATTGGATTATACACGCCGGCCGGTCGGCTGATCCGGCGGCGGCTGCTCGACGGGCGGCCTGCCATTAGTGCGGGAGGACCGCCACAGCCCAGAACGGCCCAGGACGGGCCACCAACAATGCACCAGAACCGCACGGCGGCGTGGCGGGCGGTCCGGTTTGCATTGAGAATTTAGGAGCAACATACGAACACATTGCAAGAAATGCCGACTTAAACTCGGTTGTTTTTGGAAATGAAGTTGTAACCTACTGCAGTTGTGAGAACGACGATGAGCAACATCACAACATTGTAGTTATAGTGTTCCCGTGATTTATTGCCAGCAAGTGCAAGTCCGTACAAACCTTTCACAACTGAATCCACACCTCAAAGTTCAAACTTCATGCACCGTGCAACTGCAACTTCTATGTTTGCCCATCAATCGCTAGCTTCCACTTGATCTATATCGTATATGCTTTCCTTGCTGTCATGAGATGTATTTTTAAATTTGGGTCTCTATCAAGCTCCAAACCACTCACTCCAACATTCATAAGCGTTGCATGATAAAGCTGTCCTTTTGAACTTTGAAGTCTTCATGGCGGTAATTACTTGTCAAATAGCATACGAAAAATGTTAAGTGGACAAAACCTTCCGTCTCTCTCCCTCTCTCCCTCTCTCCCTCGACCCTATCTCCCTCTCTCCCTCTCTTCCTCTTTCCCTCGCTTCTTCCTCCCTCCCTCGTTCTCTCTCTCCCTCCTTCTCCCTCCCTCTCTCTCTCTCTCTCCATCCCTCTCTCTTCCTCTCTTTCTCTCTCCATTCTCTCCCTTTCTCTCTCACTCTCCCTCTCTCTTTATTTTTTTTCTCTCTCCCTCCCTCCCTCCAGAATAACAGGACAGATTTGCACTGTTATTATGCGCTACAAAGAAATTTATTTTATTTGTTTATTTATTTAATTATTTATTGTTCTTTTGTTTTGCTATAGCTGCTTGAATCAATTACCACGTACCTAAATGTTAGTTGTTACTGATCATCCAGATTGCATCCTGGTCATCAAGGCATGTACGCGGGATCCACCAACACTTTGCAGATGTCTCATTGTTTTCCGTCAGCAACTAATCCATCTGGCAACACTTTGAATAAATTACCTGTCTCTCAGCGAACAATGCCGTTTTCGCGCTCCGTCGGCTGAATTGGGCGCTCGGTGTCGCGTTTCATGAGAATTGGTGTCGCGCGCGGCGGGCCGGCCGGCTCGGAGATAGGGCGACGCTCGGGCGGCCGTCACCATACATCAGCCGGCTCGTAATCGCCGACACACAGCGCGCTACGTGCGTCTCTGCAGGTCGCAGAGCAGACGGGCGGCGACAGAGCGACTCAGACCGCCGCGCTCTTCTGCCTCACTGCCGCGGGTGTGACACAGCCGGGTCAAGTCTCCGTATTGCTGCGGGGACGGTCGGCTGGGGCCTGCCCTCACTCTATAGAGTGAGTGCAGGCCCTCACTCCAAACTCCAGGCCTCTCTATAACTCCTCCAAATTCCTCACTCCAGGCCTCTTGAGGCCTGGACAGTGCACTCGATGCTGACCCTTCTCAGAGTGCTGTGTTATTGCGCAGTGGTTCCTGTATGGCCTGGCCTGGATGCCGGCTCTGTCGCGGCCGGCGCGTCTCCGGGAAGGCGTTGCCGGTCTGTCGCCGTTTTTCCTCTCACTGACCGATGGGCCTGCACTGGCCCGCTCGGGCGCGGCGTATTGCGCCGATCGGACCTCGCGAGCGGGCTGCATGCAGCGAACCAGCACCGGACCAGTGTCTCCGGTCGCCGTTTTGTGTTAATATTGCACGATGGCCGGCGACTGGCACGTGGCTGTAGCACGTGACGTTGTCGGTTGAATCCCCCGGGAGTAGACTGGAGAGGGACGTGACCCTCCCTCCGTGACCCCGCCCTCCGCGGCGGCGCCCCACCCGTCCGTCAGGGCCGGCCGCTCTGTCTGCCGGGCTTGGACGGCTCGTCGGCCGCTCGTTTGGACAGCCGTCGGTTACGGTGGTTGACCGCGACCCGCTCCGTCCGCCGGCAGAGCGTGCCCAGATGACCCGCTCTTCCGGCCCGCCCGCGCAGACCCGCTCTGCCTCACTATTGATAGCTGACCACCGGAAAGTGGACTCAATCGAGCCACGAGATGCATGTCGTGTGCCGGGTCCGGCGGCCCGCCGGCCGGGGGCGGATACTACCGGTATAGTAGAGCGGAGTCGTTCGGATGGCCCGGTCAGACCGAGTTAGTGCGCCGGGGCCCGTCGTCGGCCGCCGGCTTACTGCCCGACCGACGGAGATGAGCTAGAGTAATGTCCGAGACCAAACTTCGGCCGAGACAACTTAATGACGCCTTATTGCAAGAAATGGCAGTCTATTCGTTTAATTTCTGGCATGGCTGCAGGTAATGATCCGAGCTTAACGAATGGGCCACATCCTGTCCCAGATGTATTGGTCTTGTACTGAATGGGGTAAGATTCGCACTGCTGGCGTTCGCGGTATTCCATCCGCGCGGTACGGGTGGCAACAGTTCCAGTACCTGACCAATCCCCGGTGCATTTTCAGAGGTCTGGGGCCTTAGATCTCGACCAGTCCCCAGTGTGATATCTGCCTTTAGGAGCTGGCGTCGGGAGCCTGTGGCGCGGCCGGCCGCTCCCCAGGTCAAAAGGCTGAGCCGAGAACGGCCTGAGTTATATAATCGCTGCCAGTCTGCGTCCCCGTCCGTGGGCGTTTTAACCGAGCGGCCACAACTCCCCATCTGTCGCTAGAGAGCTGTGAATGAGATAATTCGTCCCGTGACGGATGTCATTTCATTTGTGAACTCATGGATGGTTCCCGTCTTAGCTCTTGACTCAGGTCTTGGTCGCAGTGCTGGCTACCGCTATGTGACTTGTCTTAGTTCATACCTCTGCTTCCTTCCGGTGTGTTTCGGCCCAAGTTTGGAAGTCATCGGCATCGATTCTGACCTCCTAAATATGACGTTTGCTTGGCCTCGGATGCTCTGTCGAACTTGAAGTGTCTATTGTGCACACTGCACAATTTGCCTCCGTCGTGTTCAACGCCCGCTGTGTCACCTCCTTTCCTCCCCCGATCCCCTTCTCCCTGTGGCACCGACTCGCACTAGTCACTCGCACATCGCCTGCTCTCGGCTCCGGGTATCTCCGTGGCCCCGTCTCCCCGTCTCCCCTGGCGCCTATCAGAGTAGCTGGTCGGCTCACTGGTGGCCAGTCAGAGCGGGCGGGGGCGTCTTCACCTCTGTGGGATCAGATTATAATCCGATAATTATCGGACCGTCCCGGCCGGCGGTAGTCAGCCGGGACGGATCTGGGCAGAGGTCGACTGAGACAAATCGGATCTGTTGCGCCACCTCCCATCATGTGTGATTTAATGTATATTAGTTGATTGTTAGCAGTGGTTTGAGGGCAAATTATGGCTACTGTTTGGTCGTATTTTACTTAGGTATTACTGACGGGTATTCCT